GGGTAAGAAAAAAAATCTGCAAATGTAAACAAGATTTTTTTTTTTGTTTCCCAAATTTTAGTGAGGCTAATCTAATAAATGATGTTCACTTGATAACATCTTACTACACGGAGCCCGAGAAGTCACCTCTAGGTAAAAAAAACAATCCGTGGTGATGATTTTGCAATTCGTCCCCTCAGTTTATAAACTGTATTCACAAATTCTTAAATTGTCCACGGATTAATCTGTGTGCTCAGATGTTGTAAACCGTACCTTCGGTTTTTAAATCCGTACCCACAAATTCAAAGTCCATGCACACGTTTTTGCAATCCGTTCCCACAGGTTTGTAAACTTTTTTGTGAGCATTCACTCTATTTAGTCGAAATATTTGAGGCAGTGTCACTCACCGCCAGGCACGGACTGGGAGTAAAAAACGGCCCTGGATTTTCTCTCAAATAGGTCCACCACAACTACAAACAGTCGCTGCTATCTCACAATATTACAGCAATCCTATCACATTTATGGCAAATAACATCACAAAACCCATGGTGACACTGCTGACAAAAACAATAGAAACCATCACAGAAATTTGAATGATTTCCACTACAAAAATACCATAAAAAATATTACAATCGAGTTTTAACCATTAAAACCCATTAAATAATGGTTGCATGTAGTGTGTTTTGGGACATAGGCCTATTACGTTAGGATTTAGTGGCTTTAACAAAAGCCATGAATAGAAGGTGACCAATTAATTACCAGTAGAGACCAACAGGCGCCATTACAGTTTCCATTAAAACCAATACAATTTTCATCAAAACCAGTAAAAAGTTAAGAAGAGCATGGCCATTCATTAAATATGCTGAGATAAGATTTTATGCTATTTATGGTCAAGAGACAAAAAAAATATGTGTGTGTGTTGTATGTCCACCTTTGATCTTGTAGGTTCTGATCCAATACAAGAAGTGAGAACTGTCCATCTTAAAGGGATACTCCACTCCAAAATGAAAATTTTGTCATTAATCACTTATCCCCATGTCGTTCCAAACCCGTAAAAGCTTAGTTCGTCTTCGGAACACAATTTAAGATATTTTGGATGAAAACCAGGAGGCTTGTGACTGTCCCATTGACTGCCAAGTAACTTACACTGTCAAGGTCCAGAAAAGTATGAAAGACATCGTCAGAATAGTCCATCTGCCATCAGTGGTTCAATCTGAATTTTATGAAGCGACGAGAATACTTTTTGTACGCGAAGAAAACAAAAATAATGACTTTATTCAACAACTTGTCTCCTCTGTGTCTCTCTGCATCACCGTAGCGCCATTTTGGAGAATATGAGCTGAACGCAAGCAGCGTACGCTCTTCTGTGTCAGCCGCGACACAAGGATACGTTTTCTACATGTATTTACACACACACACAGACACACAGACACACACACACACACACACACACACACACACACACACATATGCATGTTGTGTTTCCAAGTTTTATGGGGACATTCCATATAGGCGTAATGGTTTTTATACTGTTCAAACTTTATTTTCTATCGCCCTTCACCTAAACCTACCCCTCACAAAAAACTTTCTGCATTTTTAGATTTTCAAAAAACGTATTTTTAATTTAAAAGCTTGTTTCATCATGGGGACCTAAAAAAATTTCCCCACAAGGTCAAAATTTACTGGTAATACTGTCCTTGGTGGGACATCTGGGGCCGTATTAATGAAAAATCTTAGTGCTAAGAGGAAAAGACCAGGGCCCGTATTCATGAAAAATCGTAGTGCTAAGAGTTGCTCCTTTTGACAAAATTATAAGAAAATGATTAGAAATGTGGGTGTTTCCTCTTAAAATTAAAGAAAAGATCCTAGTAAAGAAAAAAGTAATTCAGAAAGCATCTTAACACTTAAAAGAGCTCTTAAGGTCCAAAATTGTTAGGAGCATGGACAATGACTTTGCAAATAGTGTGAAGCTGACAATGTGCTTACAGTTGTGCAAATCTAGCCTTGTGTTTTGCTCCTTGAGTGTAAGGTTTTGCTAATTGTTGGAACAGTTTAATTTTAGTGTGTAAGCGATCGTAAAAAACTGTAACATATTTGGCAACTGGAAAAATACAACTATGCAGAGTTTCACTCCAACCCTAATCAAACACACCTGAAAAGGCTCATCAAGGTCTTCAGGATTACTGCAAACAAAGCCACTAGAAAGCAAGCCTGCAACCTTTATGCCTAGTTCACACTAGGGCCTGTATTCATGAAAAATCTTAGTGCTAAGAGTTGCTCCTAGAACGAAATTCTAAGAAAATTCTTAGAAATGTGGGTGTTTCCTCTTAAAATTAAAGAAAAGATCCTAGTAAAGAAAAAAGTAATTCAGAAAGCATCTTAACACTTAAAAGAGCTCTTAAGGTCCAAAATTGTTAGGAGCATGGACAATGACTTTTAAGAGGCTTAAGAGTTTCTTTAGCAGTGGAGAAAATGGATGAAACGAGGGAGAAGAAATGTGTTGCACGATGCATGACAGTGAGTTAATAAGACACTACACATTAGATGGTGCAGGGATCATGTTTGTGAGAGATCTTATTAGAGACACGCTTACATCTCTGACACCGTGCAGATGTGTGTGTGTGTGTGTGTGTGTGAGAGAGAGAGAGAGAGCGAGAATGGTAAAACAGGAAAAATTAGACCTTTAATTTCAAAGTGAAGGCTTATAACAGACCCTACTCTTAAAAGCACTCTTTTATTTCCTTCTTGGACAATAACATATTTGGCAACTGGAAAAATACAACTATGCAGCAGTGATGATTTGGGTCTGTCACAACCTTCTACAAGCAAAGTGATCACACAAACAATTACAGCACTTTCAGAACCTTATTGTGTCGCTGTTCATTTCCTATAAAATACATTAAGTATGGCAGTATGGTAAATAAAAAATAAATAATATATACAGTATATATACATAATGTGTGTGTGTGTGTGTGTGTGTGAGAGAGAGAGAGAGAGCGAGAATGGTAAAACAGGAAAAATTAGACCTTTAATTTCAAAGTGAAGGCTTATAACAGACCCTACTCTTAAAAGCACTCTTTTATTTCCTTCTTGGACAACCAACCAATCACAGTCTTCAAAAGACTGTGTCATAGCTAGCCCGACTCCTCACTAAGATAAAAGGTTTTGTCTTTTCCTCGCTCAGAGTTGCTCTCAGATTGGTCCTGAATCACTTTTAAGCTAAATTAGGAGTTCTCTGAGAGGATTCTTAGAATATTTAAGAATACGGGCCCTGGTCCCCATAACGTGATAAATACCAAGGACACACACACACACACACACACACACACACACACACACACACACACACTGAGCAACTAAATCTTACATCTAAAACATTCAAAAGTTTGTTTGCACACTTGTGAATTTATGAATAGCACTTTGCATTTGTGAAACACATTTTGTGGAAGTATTCTTTTATGTATGAGTGAATTATGGTTTTTGAGAACATGATTTTTTGTTTATCAAATTTTGTTAATGTCTTATTGTACGTATTTATTTTCGATTGGTCATCATGTTTTACAAGAACGGGAATGCAGCAACCCAACATGTAATGAGCAAGCAATACTGAATATTGCAGTGCTGATATAAATTAAATTATTATAATTATAAAATAAATTAGCAATTTAATAAATATGTTTTTTGCTGTTGGTGTTTCTTTCCTAATTAACCTTATATTAATATTTAAGGTTATTTCATTTATATCACCACAGGGAGGCGCCAACGGTGACACGCATGCTGCAAGCCTGCAACACTCTTTCAGCTAACACTGATTCTACAAATATAAGATGCAATATCTTTTATCTGCATCTTCAGAACAGATATAAGGACACCACTAAATGATGTGCGTATAAAAATAATTCGGCTTAAAAAAGAGTTTTTGAGCGTTCAGTGCTGAAGAACAGCTCCAGTCCGCAGCAGAACGAGCTCTACATTCCACACAATCAGCTCTGAGAGCCTCGAGACGATGGAGCGAGTCGGTTCGTTCGGACGGTCTGTTTAAATGAACCGGTACACGGACTCGTTTGACGAAGAGTTGCCATAATAAGTAATTCAACGTGTCATATTGCAGTACAAGTTTTAACCAAACACAACTTTGTTTTTTTGATTACGCTATTGTCTTCCGGTATCCAGCGTGTTATACAGTGTTACTCGCCGCACTCACTGTCGAGTCATTCACAAACACTGCGCGAATCGGTTCGACCGAATCACTGAACAAACGGATCAAAGGATGATTCGTTTGCGAGTCGGACACCGATACTGTATACTGCATTCATATTAGGAGTAATATGGTAGTGTACCGATCTGAACAAAGCTCTGTAACCGCATGTGTGATGAGACTGAACTCTTCCAGCGGACTCGACTCACTCTCCAGAGGGAGCGCAGCGGAGCAGTCCAGGTCTCCTGCAGCTGCGGGGAAAAGCGCGGATGGGATGGAAGTTCTCTGTGGATGTCCAAACTAACTGCATCGCTATACTGACGGACATCGCCTCGGTATTACTGTTCATCTCAGATCAGCTCGCTTCAGTTCCTCTGCGGTTCTGCTCGTTTTAAAGCACATCTTCATGAAGTACATCTGATTTAAACTTGTGGAAATACATCGTAAACATCTCCCGTTCATCTGAAGGCACTCAGCATCATCCAGTAAGTTGACTGAATGAAATAACGGACTGACTGTATTAAATCTCTCGTGTGGATGATTATATGTCATGATTGTGTTTAACCTCAGGAGCTAACACAACTTTACCCACTGTTCTGTTCAGTGCATAGCTATTAATGATTGTCTGAAGATTTACAGTAGGAACACTAGATAAGAAGAGGCGGGTCGACCACTGTAAAAGTCACCATGGTAACCACCAAAAGATGGTACTTGTGTGGATGTATTGTTGCACAGTATTAAAGTGTAATTGTGCAGTTGTTACCCTTCATTACAAGTAGAATAGAAAGCTAGAGTTTTTTTTTTTTTTTTTTTTTTAAAAAAAAAAAAAAAAAAAAAAAAAATAATAATAAAAAAATTACTGAAAGCTGCTTACACCTATTGAAGGAACAATAGGCCTGCATTTATCTTATAGTACTATGGATACTATGGCAAATTTGGCAAATTTGATAAGGGTTAATATAACTTTTTTAATATAACTTTTTTATAAAAAAAATAGTTATATATGCTTTTATAAGTTAAAGTCACATTATATTTGAGATCAGACATCATGGACTGCATCAGTGCCAAACATTTGGTGATATTCAATGTCAACAAGTGTTCTTCTTGAAGTGAGTTTTTGATCATTTGTTTCTTTATATATATATATATATATATATAAAATAAAAAAATA